TTATAATTAAATTCATCATGATCAAACTAGGATGTTATGCATAGTCTTTCCTTTTTAAAATGAGATTGTCATTTAATTCTTCATAAGTTGATAAAGAAAAGGAAGAAAAAGCCACTACAAGTTCAATAACAACAAATTCAATAAAACACAATAGTCCTTAAGAACACTTGTGTGTTTTAGGTTAGATTTATGTATCTGCATACAATAATATATTAAAATAATGAAAAACTTGCAGAAAATCATGCCAAAAAAGAATGATTTCCTTAATAAAAACAAAAGGGTGGGGATGGTTATTGGGTGGAAGGTGGAACCTTCGTCCATGAGAGAGTGGACCATTGGTGGAATGAGTTAACTGAGGAATGAGAATAGGGTGCTTCGTCCTCACATTCTGTGGTCTTGCAAAGATGCTTTTATGGTTATGAAGACAGAAAGCGAGAGAATATCCTCTTCTGCAAAAGAGATTTAGACATCAGAATTCAGAAGCAGATCATTAACTATTCCTAACCAATATTCTTCCATTGTTAGCTTCCATTGTCGAGACCACATTCTTTTCCCAAGATAACCACATTCCTTTACACAACCAGCCCAGAGCTTGAGGGCCCTCCCCCAAATTTTTTTTAGATTTCTTTATCATTATTTATAAACATCCAATTTTATTTACTCACTTTTGAATCTAGTAACTTTATTTATATAAATATGCGTATCAAATTTATAAAATTAAATATTTATAAGTATGCTAATATTATTATAAAATTTATAAATTTTTTAAGTTTTATTATGTATTATAAATTCATATTATAATTTTTTATGTGTTTATAAATAAAATTTATAAAAAATAAAATAACATAGAGAATAAGTAGATTATGTCCCTACATACATTCATTAAAATTTATTATTCCAATTGTTAAATTAAAAAAATTTCTTAAATAAATAGAGCCTATAAAAATTATACGATAAAAAAATTAATTAAAAATTTATTAGATAATTTTATATTAATGTTTATTAGATTTTTTAAAAAATATAAGTAAATTATTTAAAATTATATCTTTTTGAGGACCTGATTTATTTAAAATATGATATCTATAATAAACGTACATATTCTATCTTATTCAACTGTTATATTAATTAAATTTAATATTTTAATAATCTATTAAGTAAATTTTTTTATAAAAAATAATTTTAAAAGAACTTATCTTTACCTCCTCATCTTTTCTTTTCTTCTCTCTCTCTCTCTATCTATCTATATATATATATATATATATATATATATATATATATTAAATAATCAATAATTATGAATAATATATATTTTAAAATATTTTTTAACAATTTTTTAAAAAAATTTAAACGGTTACAATAAAATTCTATCTGTTTTTTTTTCAATTCTTCTAAAATTTTTACAAACTAAAATATTTCAATTTTCCCTCAATAATAGTTTATTAAAATATTATTATTTTATTTCACCTAAAATTATGAAATTCTAAATATCTCTAACCTGTTTGAATTCTTAACATATATTTATAAAATTATTCAAATTTTATCAAAATTTTACTTTTTAAAAAATATTTCGAACCATTAAAAGACTAAATTCAAAAAATTTAATATTTAAGAGATATAAATTGCATATTAATCATCATAAAAAATTAGAAAAAAATTACTTTTCATCTATTTTATTTCTTTGGCCATCCGATTTAAACTTTTTCACTCCATCACTTTAAAGATAAAATTGTTTCGAATTTAAAAAATTTTATTCATTAAAAAAAAAGTTACATAAATTAATTATATTTTCCAAAATAAAAATAATTGACAAGTCAAAATGTTTCTTCACTTATTGTAGGCTTAATTATACATTCATTTTTTTATGAAAAAAAAAGTGAGGTAAGAATCATCTTTCTTACCTTCAATTTTTTTTACATTATCTCAATACCCTATTAGTAAAGAAAGAGGAAGAAACTCGTTTAAATTTCCTCTCTTTCTTTTGTATCATAGAAATGGTAAGTGTAGAGATAATATTAAAAAACAGTGAAAAAAATGTCATTGTAATTAAGAAGGAAAGGAAGCTTTTTCATATGCCAAAAAAATTCATTCTAAGAATATTAAAAATAAATAAATTCATTATACGTATTATTGTTGTTGTAAACATTGTGTATGTTGACAACAATCATAATATTTTGAAACTACAAAATGTTGAAAATAGTTTTTTTAGGGAATTTCACTCTGAATTGTATGGATTGTTTTTTAACTTCAGGTAGATTTTTTATTCGGATTTTTTTAAATAACAAACATATTATTGTGTGTTATTATATTCTTGGCTGATTTTGGGCACTTTTATATTCCCTTTTGTGATGCATAATTGCATATAGGTATAAGCAACAATCAGATCTTCTATAAATTGTTCCAACCTATTGTACTGGGGTTGTCAGAAAATAATTCTCATATTATTTTTCTTTTATTTCTGAGTTTTGTATTTTTATTTTTTGGTTTAAGTTAGGTGGATCAACCTAGCTCAACCACAAGCCAATTACAATTTTTTTTAACACATTAAAAAGGTGATTCTCATTGGATTGACTTACTTTTAAATTTATGTCATGGTGAGTCAACCCAAAGGGTTAAATTGACCCTTTTTATAGCTCTGGTACCAGGTTTTTTTCCCCCAAGTATGTTGAATTGGATTGTAATATTGTTAAAGAACAAGCTTTTCATTTCTTTATCTTTTTCTTTTTTGGTCCATTCTTTTTTGGGCTTATTCACTTACTGTTTGGCCATTTATCTTTTTCTGTCAATCAATCTATTAGGATTTTCTCCAACAACCACTATCAGGGCTTATTGGAAGTCCAACATGATATTAGAAGTGATAACAGATAAGATAATATCATATTTATTTTTATATTTGCATAAGTATTAATATTAATTTTCATACTCGTATTATATGGGTATCCGCATGCCTATACTCATACCCATTATCCATTCTTTTTTGAGAAAAAAATATTTATAAAGAAAAATATATTTATATAACTTCACATGAGTATTATAATAATACAAAAATTCAATACGTAGTTGTCGAAAAAGGTACAAGCATAAATAAAAAGCAAATATTCAAATATTACAAATACTAAATGTATCTTAATATAACAATTTTTTAAACTAAAATTTTTAGAAACTATAAGTGAAACTAAATACTCAAGTTATTTGTCATTGATGACTTTGTTTTATGTGAGATTCAACTAAACGACAATAAAAGAGCAATGATAATGATGAGATAGATTTGAACAATCAGTAGTCTCTTGTGCGGAATCACTTAGTGGCCTCTCGTGATAACATTAACAACTAACTCTAATAAATAACGATTTATGGTTGCTGCAATATTTTTAAATGAGACAGACACTGAGAATGCGAATAAGATTAGGGCAGAGAAGTTCAAGTACTAAACGATAACGAGAAGTTGACACATAACATATTTTTTAAAACTTTTGAATTGAAATTGTAAGAAAAATAATGAATTTAATTAAAATAATATAATATAATTAATAATATACATATATATATATATATATATTAATACTAGTATTTTAACTCATGTACTACACAAAAATATTTTGTCAAAAATATAAAATTTTTGAAAAATTATTTTAATAAATTAAATATTTATAATGTATATAAATTTTTTAAAAAAAGAATTTAAATAAAAAATAAATGGTCACAATAAAATTTTAGAATAAAAAAATTATACCTTTTTATTCAAAAAAATTAATAAATAAGAATTAACGAAAATTTTGAATGTAAATAAATGGTAAAAATAATATTATTTAGATTCAATAGATTATAGTTGTGCTTGTAATGTATATGTTGTATAGAAGAATATTATTTTAAATTAAAATATAAAATTTAAATATTATTAATAAATAATAAATTTATAAAATATTTATAATATGTTTATTATTTATTATTCACTTTATGATTTAAATATCAATATGATTTTATTAATGAAAATATTTGTGTGAAAAATATTTTATGTGTCATATATAAATAATTTTTAGAAAAAGTCAATGTTATATCGATTATGTAATAATTAAATTATATTAGCCTGGTTAAATGATATAAAATAGTAAATAATTTTTTTATTAAAAATATGAACTAAAATAATTTTTTTATTTACTTTATTATTGAATATATTTTTATTAATCTTATATAACTTTACATAAGTAATATAATAATATAAAAATTTAATACATAATTATAAAATAAAGTTTAAACATAAATTAAAATTTACATAACTAACACAATTAATACACACACAGCGAGATAGGTACTTAAATATACCTATCCATTAAAATTTGTGAGATTTATTTATATTTATCCATTAAAATTTGTGAATATTTATTCATATTCATACTCATACTCATATAATGAATAAATACTTACTCATTATAAATAAATTTTGTTGGTGTATATAATCGGATCTTTTATCCATTATCGTGATACAGGGTTTAGAGAAAATCGGTCTCTTGGATCGGTTCTGTATACTTTACAGACTTGTGTTATTTTGTAATAAGGTTTAATAATGGCCCATTTTTACTTTTATGGGCTCGGGACCTCATCTTGAATTTGCAGCCTTTTGGGCTTTGGCTCTAATTTGAAGTCCGGTTGACTAAAAAACAACAGTAATAAAATTAATGGCATATTTATGTTCGCAAATAACCAGTTCTCATATTTTGATCCCAACTTGAAAGTTTAAAGAGGCTTACAATGCTCTTACACTTCTCATTTTTATATTTCATCACGAGAAGTGCTAAATGACCCGAACAAGAGTTACACCAGAGGCAATAATAAATACATCATTTTCCATGGTTACTATACTCTTTATATATGCATATGTATATATATAAACTACGTATATCTTTCATTCAAGATAATTTTGAGCTAGATAGAAGAAGTATTATGAGTTGGGTATGATTATATGTATCACTATGCTTATTTGGTTATATATATATGTATTTGAGTTACATCCTCCTTCCCCCAGAACCACCTTGTCGTTGACAATTGAAATACACAGCTGCAACTGGTAATCCAAGGCTATAAACCTCTGCAAAATCTCTAGTGATGAAATTTTGGCGCCACCCTGGAGCAGGTATGTTCTGCCTACCCAGTTGACGAAACAACACAAAAACTAAACGATGAATCCCTGATGTTGGTCGTGGACTTTCATAGCTCACAATCTCATTTCCTATCAAATACCAACCATCATTTAGCAATGTTACATTCACAATTTTTTATCCTTTTAAAAAGTTATACAATTTAAACTTAATGTCTTATAAAATATTTATTAGAATATAGTAATTATTTTTTATAAACTATTAGTTTTAATATAACATGATCAAATAAATATTGTTATACGTGACAATATTTCAATAAATCACGTTAGATTTAAAAATAATAGTCTTTTAAAAAAATAAATACTATGTTATGACAAAAATATTTTATAAACACTGTATAAAAATTGTGCAACTTTTATTACAGGCACTAAATATTTAATTAAGTATTTTTCATTATCATTAGCACCAGCTAATGATATATATCCATCATTCAACAATTTCTAATTGAATGACTGTCTCATCTTTCAGTCGCATTAAAAGTTCACATAATTGAAGGGCTGATTTATGTAGCACCGGAATTAATAGACTCACGCAACTAATAACTTTTTCTTTTGTCTAAACATTTGAAAAGAAGAATCAAAAGTTTAAACTTATTGTATTAAAATTAATCAGGCACCAGTAAGTTCATTATATAAAGTTAAAAACTTTAAAACACGATAACCAAATTTCAGCAATTTAATTTTACATTCACTCTCATTAATATATTTCTTAAATTTAACTGGAAAATTATGTATTTGTTTAAATATATTGATTATAATTTTTCATGTCATCAAAATTTTGTTCATAAATAAAATGGAAAATTAATTAATAATATTGGGCATTAATATCTGACAAAACAGGAATGCTGCAAAATAAAAGGATGGCGAGTAAGGAAGTTAGATTTATCATTTCATCACTTGAAAATATCAATAATTTGGATAGCATATATAATAGGAATTGTAATAAAATAATGAATAAAAAAAGGTCAAAGAAAGAAATAATAGAATAACCGGCAAAAGCAAATTATGTACGTACCAAATGTTGCCCCTGTAGTCGCTGGAATATTGATTACCAACCTACGCATTCATCGAAGAAAAAACAGGTTATAACTGATAATGATTGAAGTTTACCAAAACACACACACACACACACACATATGCAATTAAGGTTTTAATCCCTCGAAAAGTTTATAATTTTTTTTATTATATTTCTGGCGTTTTAATTTTTTTTTTCAAGTGATTTCTACATAAATATATTTTATCAAACAGATTATAATTATTTTTATTTTTCAATTTATTCTTTTAAATATCAGATTTTTATTTTGTTTCTGTTTGAAAAACTCATGATATTTAAGGAATCAATTGTGAAACTTGTAATATTTAAAATAATTACAAAATTATTTAAAACTTTTAGAAAGATCAAATAGAAAATAAAATTTATTAAAAAATATTCAATGAAAAAGCATTTTATGAAGAATTTATGTAGGAGAAAAAAAGCTAAAAATAGATGACCAAATGTAAAAATGATAATTTTTAAAATAAAAATGTTATTAAACTATATATTAAGAATAAGGATATCCTTTCATAAGAGAAATTGATATATTAATCATCCATATATATAGTTATATAATTAACATTGATGTCTCTTACCTATTCCATTCTCATTAAATACAACTTATACACACCAAAAATATTATAGAAGTTTTAATTTTAAACTAAAGTAGAAGAGTATGAGAGATCGATTATTACAAATTAAGTGCTAAAATTTTTGTTATAAATTTATAATAGGTCAAATGGGAAATTTCTTTCGAAAGAGATAAAAAAAATTTAATTTAAAAAATGTGGGTAAATATATATTTTTATATTTATTATGTACATAAGCACTTGTTTCATGCAGAAAAAAAAAAGAATAGTTTCTGATATACATTTTATTGGGTATAAATGATATTTTATCTGTGTAGTTATATATTTTAAAAACATCATTTGTATTATTAAAACTCTTAAATTTGTCTTATTTTTTCTTGATTTAATTACGGTTTTTGGATTATCAGTCACAATTTCAATTCTGATTATAACTTTTTTTACTTAAATTTAAAGGATATATAAATTTGCCTGTGTATTCCCACTGGAGTAATATTACATATGAAAATAAATTTAAAAGGGTAGAAGCACAGGTCAATAAACATATACCAGGTGATAATTTTTTAGCAAAAAAATATAATACTATATAAAAATAGATACTCTTGGGTCAGCAAAGAAAGTGGGAATAATGTATGTGACAAGTGAAGATAAAAGTTTGTTGGTTTTTGTGTGTGGTCTCCACTCCAAAAGATGTGCAATGGTAAAATGATTCGTCCTCGGCCCTATTATTTGTCTCTGCTCAAAGTTTTGATAATAACAAATATCTAAAAAAAGCACTTGACCAAAAAACACGTTTTAGCTGTAAGCAGATGATGAAACTTTTCCGTATTCAATGCAGTCAAGTATCATGATCGATCAATTCATTCATGCCTGAAGCAAATCAACTTGATTTCGATATGATTGAAGATCAAACTAAGAACATATTCACTAAAGCACTTCAAGGGTGTTGGAAATCAATTACCAATGATTACAGTTTAATCAAAGTTAGTTATCTGAACCTACCAGTGCAGATACTCTCTCATATTTGGGTCGCTTGGGCTAGGTGCATCAGGGTCCACCATAACCTGAAACTCAAAGCCAATGCCATAAACTCACCACAGGTATAACTCAACAACCCTATATATAGGTGAGATAAAAATAATAATAATTCCCCAACCCACAGGTATATTCTTATAAAAGACAAATATGTTGGGGAGACAATTAAATATTATTAGTCAGCACATTTCTCAACTGAAATTTGAATAATGATTGGTCAAAATAAAGAATATTTTAATGACGAAAATAAAGAACGTAAGCAATCAATATACAAACCAGAGTGTAAAGGGTCCTTAGGTCATCTCCACCAACATCAACTCTTGGATTGTTTACTATATGGGAGGGTTTGAGCTCACCACTGTTGATGACTTCTTTGTTATTATTGTATGTAACTCTGAGAGAGACAGAACTTGTAAAGGGATCCAAAACATCTCCTATTACACGTCCCACAACAAGAGGGTTCATTACCTTAGGCATGATATGATATGATATATGAATTGCTCACTTGCTGGAATGGAAATGGCTGTGCCTTTTATATATGCTTTGGTGTGTGAGTTCAATGAACTGTGGTCATGGCATCTATAGATTCTGACCTTTATCTTGTTCTATTTATTTTCTCTATGTTTAATTGTGCCGTATTATAGAGAAAGAAGAAACAAACAAATAAGGGACTGCGTGTGAACAAGGAGCATCTCTTAGAAAGTTGCAATAACAAATATTCATAAATTCCCAACATATTTTTACTTCACTTTCTAATTTATTTTATCACATTTTTCCTTTTATTATACTAAAATGTGTTAAGGATTTTTATTGTATGCATGAATAGAAATATCCAAATTACAATGACTTTCTGAAATGCTTTTCATTGCCGTGGTGGTCGTGTAATAGTTATTAAATAGTAATTATATTTGTATATTTACATTTTTTTTTTATTTTTTTCTATTGTATCATGTTATTTATCATTTTTTTTTAAATTTTCTCTTCTTTATTTTCTATAATTTTTATTCTCTTTCCTTTCATCTCAATTTCTTGTCTAAAAATAAGGTATACAGTCATGATTTTTCATAATGTAATTACACTCGTGATAATCGTGACAATAAGGAGAAATGCGTTGGACACAAAGTATGTTAAAAAGCACAATGCATTTTCCATATAATTGCCAAAAACAAAAAAATTACGGTCATTACAATAGTTGTTGAGTGTGATTTTGTAAGCTATACTTACTGTAGATTATATTTGAATAGAGTAATTTTAATTTTAAATTAACAGATTATAGGTATTTATTAGATAATAAAGAAGAACTATTCATTTTTAGAACATTATAGAATGTTAATTAAATAAATTTTATGTCAAATAAAAAAATTCAAATGAACATACTTTTAAAAAAAAATAAAAAATATATATTATGTTTATTAATTTTGTATAACTATTATTTATAATATTTTATTTTTGATTATCACTTTAATCATTCTTCGTTATTACTTTTATATTCTTCAAAAAATTTAAAATTTTTCATTCAAAGGTAATCTTAATTAAGTATTTCGTGACAATCTTAGTCCTAACTATATTATTTCTATGTATAATATAAGGCGATGTCAACATACAAGAAAGGGTGATTGTCAACATATACGAATAAAAAAAAATTTCACTCCTACTTAAATTTTCAATATTTTCTTCCTCAAGCGAGTCTGTTGCCACTCAACTAAAAGCTCTCAAGTCTTGTTCGATTTTCTACAATATAGACCAAAGTAGAATTCCACCCAACAAAATTATTGGCTCTAATATATCACTTAAAGGCAGGCCCGTTCTTAACTTTTTGGGGGCCTAGAAAAAATAGAAAATTAACGCCCTTTTCAAAAAAATTATAAAATATAATAAAATAAAATAAAAATATACGCTAATAATTCTATTAAAATAATACATCTTTTTTAAGTGAATATGATTTTTTAATAAAATTACAAAAAAAAAATGTTCTTTTATTCAAATCACTCTTATGTTATAATCAACTATAAAAATATAAAAAATTAAAAAATAATATTTTCTATGAGTATTTTAAGATGTAAAATCATTAATAATAACATTAACATTAATATTTTCTAAAAATTCTTTCTCGATCGATAAAATTATGAGACTATTCAAACGTTCTTGTGACATTGATGACCTTAGATAAGTTTTGATCAACTTTAACTTTGAAATTTTTTTTTCAGCTAATGCTACAATCACCAAGGAGGTAAAAAAATTTTTATAAACAATTAAGATATTTGGATAACAATCTACAAATTTGAGAAACTCAAGAACTAATTAATTTTTTGAAAAAAAAAACTAAAATTATCCATGAGTTTTAAATTTAAGAAGAGTAAAATTTGGGAATTAAATAAAATTTTGAATTTGGAAAAGTCAAAGAGTTGACTATGTTTATAATAAATGAAGTGCAAGAAATTGAAGAGTCTTTTTTATTTTTTTATTTTTTTTCAACTGCAAACTGCAATTAAGAGTTAAAATATATTTTTTTTCACGTGAAAGCTGAATACAATTTTTACTTTAGGTCATTTCTAAGCCTGGTCCTATGTGATCACACTTCTAAATTATGATCGGGGCCAGACTTGCTTAAAGGTTATCGAAGGGGAGTCCAAAATAATTGAGAGATCTTCCTCATAGATTAAATAAAAGATAATAATTGTAGGCATGACACCTTATGTATGATCCAAAGCCTTAAAGCAATAAGAATATGAATCTTTTCATTCATATTATCTTCATTTAACTAATTTTTTATTTAATGTGAGACGTCTTTATCAATATTCATCTTGAATTTCCTAAAATGTGTTTATTTTTGGTGTTAGTAAAATGGAACAGATAATAATATAAACATAAATTCAATTTTTTTTTACAATAAAAGGGGACAAATAAGATTAATTGACTATCAAAATCTACTTTGCATGCAGTAGAGAAACTAGAAAGCACAAATATGACACGTGACACAGATTCTGTATGTCACATATAGAGTTGTGAAAAATTTTAATTCATAAAACTAGACATAATTATAATACAACATACAAAATTAATTTAAATTAGTATAAATAAAAAAACTTAAATCGCAAGGGAAATTATATTTTAAATATATATAAGCATAAATTATAATAAACATAATAACATACAAATATACCTAATTACTTTGGTATTTCAGCTTGTATATTGATATAGAATTTGAAAAAAATAAAAGTAAAAAATGCAGTTAAAAGTATTTGAAGTGTGTATATAAATATGTGTATCACATGGGTATTATACAGTACAACTGCTATTTAGAATTACAAGCTCCATGCGTCATAGGAGATGACACACCAACATTCAAAAGAATAATTCTATTCATCTTATAAGCATTTTTATACAAAAATTGTACATATTTATTTTCATTCTCAGGAGATAAGAACCCCTTATTCTGTCCCAGTTTTTTCAACGGTGGTTAATATGCATGAAAATCAAAATTAATGAGAGGAGGGCATGATGATAGACAACGAAAAAAAAAATTGAAAACTACAGTAATCCAAAAGAAACCAATCTTCATGATGTGGTTTATTAATTAGTCGAAAAATAAATAAAACAAACACTTCCACAATGTTGTGTATAATTGACGCAATTAACCTTCAGCAAGGTTGAGCATGTTTTGTTTCGAATGAAAATAATATATGTGCCAATAAGAGAGTTATATTGTGTTTAGTTTACAAGAATTTTGACCTATCAAAGTGAATGAGTTGAGTACATTGCTAAATGTTAGTGTGTGAATGAGGATGTTCTTTTCATCAACCAAATAAGCAATATCAAGTTTTCGAATGATTATGTCTCTAACTTCCTTTCCTACTCATCAGAATTGAATCAGTTCAAGTCACATATGTTATCATCTTCCATCGCCCACCTGTGATACTTCTTGTGGTCATGCAAGGATATTTTGCTGGGATTAAGAAAGAATAAAGAAAGAATTTTCTTATTCTAGATATGTGGATGCAACTTTGGAATTCGATGATATTAAAATTCATCAGTCATTCATTTATTCTAAAGTTATATTTCTGCATTCTACTCTGTCGAATATCTTAAATCCTCCAAAAGTATCTTTTAGTTGTCCACTCAAAGAAGTAGAGGGTGAAAGAAGAAAGTAAGAATGAGAATTTAATGCAACCTTTCATTTTTGTCACCATATAGCTCTCGAATATTTTCTTTAATTTGGATAAAAAAGTAGATAGTAAAATCTACATGCTAAATTCACTTGATATTAATTAGTATTATTTGAGTAAACTTTAATATTATTAAAAAATATAAGTTGACTTCAACTTATAAAAAAATTAATTCATTATACTTTCTAACTTTTGACTCCTATAAATATTTATTAAAAAAAATTATTCAAAGTGAGTTTTATATACATATAGTTTAATAACATTTTAATAAAGAGTTTTATCCAAAATACATTATTAGATTAAAAATTATTGTATTACTTATATTTAAAAAATTATATTAATAAAAAGTTATACCACATTCATGTAAATTTAAAAATTTATTTTAATATAATTTTTGAGATAAATAAAAATTATTTATTTATTTATTGTTATTTTTTATTTATAAAAATTTAAAATAGATAATATAAATAATATATATAACTCATTAGTTGAATCATTAAAAAAATTATTTTATATAAAATTATTTATAGTATAAGAATAAATGTAATTTATATAAACACACAAATAGGATAGAAACATGTTATCCTGATATCAATCACTCAATTTGTTCCCTTGGAATAGTTTTTATTGAACGAAAATCAATATATACTGTGGGTCTTCGTTAATGATATAATATACAATGATAACTTTAATATCCTATAGCAGAAAAAATATATACATAATAGCTTAATTCTATTTATTAGTATATAAAGTTGAAGTATATTATCAGTATATCATTCTGCTAACATTTACTTTTAATATCTATACTCACAAATTATCTTTTAACAAACAAAAATCATATGAACTAAAACAAAGTCAACGCTCTACTTTGTTAAATTATGACAATTTTTTGTAGTGTGCACCCAAGGAAATAGGAATAACAAGCATTCTTAAGAAAATGAGAGAAATAAATATACTGACATGTTGTATTCTCGATATATTATCAAAATTGAAGCATAAAATTTGTGAATTTTGTGAGTTAGTATATAGCATAACATTGATTACCGAAGGAGTTAAATTATTTGTGTTGCATGTAAAACATGGTCATGTATATATATTTGTCTTGCAAGGAAACTTTATGAACGGTGGAGATAAAGAAAAGATAGAATCACAAATGCTCATATGCTAAACGGGACTTGTGTAATGAACTTTTTCCAAATGATGAAAATGTTAATTTTTATTTTTCTTTACTCAAACTAAATTGATTCTTAGTTTTATCTTAGTGAATCATTCTCACACAATTTGTCATATGTATATTCTAATCAAGTAAAC